ATAATTTTTCGATTTGATCAAGAACGTAAACCAATGACAACAATGTTTGTGTATAGCAGCCAGTTAGTTCAATGCTATTGTGTAAAACAAACATGTATAAGGTAAAAAAAATATATAGGCAAATTACCATTCAGAAAAGTTTTGAACCAGAAGTTCTGGTTGCCTCTCTTCATCGCCGCTTTCTGGGTCTGATTCTGGCTCATACTGACTGTCATACTGCAGTATCGATACCATTATTTACATTTGACATGAACAACACATGCAACTTTCGCCTGTAAAGGTAATGGGCGTGAAGTATCCGGACAACGTGCACTTTAGCCAATCACAACACACCGGCCCAAACTAACCAATCTGAGCCCATTGCCTGTTTCTGAGGGCGTTGTTAGGCACGACGCGAAGCGTATTCACGATACAGCACTTGCCTCAAGTACCTTATTGCTTTTTAAAAACGGTTGCAACACAATATTAAATTAAAAAACAATGTATTAGTTCAACTTTCTTGAAGTAAAATCATTAAAAGCCTTCCTTCCGCTAGAAAAAATAGTCCCTGAGCATGAACAGCAACAACGTTCCAATGTGTAAAATGCATGAAAGCTCTTTCGTGAATAAAGCTCTTGACCAATCAGAATCAAGGATTCAAACCAACCGTTTTATAAACATTATTAATTTCCTAATATATAATTTATTTATAATTTCTGTCATCAGAGAAGAGAAGACAAAGCAAGAGGGAAGGGAAGTTATTTCTCTATATGAATCTGTGGTCAACCTTATATTAATCAGTATCCAGATTTGACTAAAGAGTGAGAGCTGAATGCAAATATTGAATAATGCAAATGAAATGCAAGCATACACCCCAACCCCACAATCAAACTTGAGTACATGTGAGAGGAAATGACAAGCAATGCAATAAACAGCTATCTGAAGTAAAGCTGGGTTTCAGTTCATATTTCTAAATATACTGTTCAGACTGTGAAGTTCCTTGAACCAGAACTGCTCTACTGATGTTGTTTAAGGTTTCAGAGGGGTGAAATGAATAACTAAAAAGGAACACACACATGCTGCTTGCTTCTTACAAGGTACACTCGGCCGAACTGAATTCACTCTTAGTATCACTATATCAGTTCCTCACTTACATGACACAGTGAAGTCGCTGGTGTTTCTTTCAGAGGGAAATATTAACCTTTATAGTGCTATGAATATACAAATTAAATGAATCTACAAACTGCCAGACTTCTGTTTATGCACTGTCTGGCAATTTGTAAAACAATGAGGAAGTTTCTCTGACTTCAGTATGTCTTCACAGAGAAAAATGTTACTGTTTACAGTTTGTTAAAGGATCTGCTATGAATCACTGTCAAAGTGATGTTCTGGAGATGTTACAATTTTTATATTTTTTTTGCAAGTGCCAAATTTACAGGGAAGACTACTAAATAATGAATTAAAAAATTATCATAAGGTTTAGTGATATAATCTAAATAATGAATGAATAAATAAATGAATGAATACATTATTAAAAATAAAAATGTAATAATTTATAATAATTTAAAAATAAAATGTTATATTTAATAAAAAAATAATATACATCAAAACAAAACAATAAATGTAATATTTTATAATAATAATTTAAAGATAAAATAAAAATAGACACTAATTGTTTAAAAAATAATATATAAATAAACAAGCAAACAAACTTTACTGTGTGCTGTGAGAGTTCGAGATTAATTTCGGACCCTGTTAAATGTTGAAAGGTTTCTTACCATCTTGCTCCTCCATGCTGCTGGTGATGCCGCCTGGATCTGCAGTCTCTCTGACGTTCCAATACGACATACTTCAGGATAAAAGCTGCAGTTTCATTTTAAAGATGTCATCACTGATTGAAGATATATGAATTACCCCTTCAGGAACAGATTGGGAGACATCCTTCAATTTGCTTGTCTTACAAGTGAACTTGTAAACAAGTGAAAAGGAACAAGACAACATATTGAGTGCAACAGAATATATCATTTTATAATATTCACTGCATTGTTGCAATACATGAACAACATAAACAACTAAATAAAAAAATGAAAACTATACCCGTGCAGGTTGTTTAAAAACAACAACAAAAAAAATGTCTTTATGAACCATTACTTTTGAAGTCCAATTTTTATTATTTGAATATGAAAATACAGCAACAACAGCAGTGGCATCTGCTACATTTTCATTTGGTTCCTCAAAATGCCAATGCAAACCATCTTTTAATAGACGTCCAATCTATGCAAGTCTGCTGGTATCTTGCTTTCAATTTTAAGAGACATCAGCTGATCTAAAAAACAACTGTCCAATCTAACAATTATTCTACAAGTCTACCACAAGAAACTGATGTGTATCCAGCAAAACCCTTTTCCAGAGCTGATGTGTGTTGTGTGCCAGGGTGCCAGCTAATGACGTGACTCATTTTTCCTTGGCTTGCGGTCATTGGTCATTTGGTTACAAACAAAACAAGCTTTCTTTGGCGAGTTACAGTAGACTACATTGAATTTTAATCAGTGACCACTGAAATGCTGGTACGGCCAGACACATTTTGAGTCGCATTTTGCAATTAAATGTTTTGAAAGAAAGAATGAGTCCCATATCAATGTCAAACACTTTAAAATTCCATGGTAAACATTTAGTACCATATCAAAGTACTAGGCTACTGTCAAATGTTCCGTCACTGTTACCCAGACATTAACATTTACAACTTCTTTTTAGGTAGGAGAGACTGGGGCTATAGCCTATATTTTAAACATAATTTGAAATAGCATGGACACAAACATGTAAGACTTGACTACACTACAGAAGTCATTATTTTATATTTCCATTGTTGGTACCCAAGAAAAAACATGGCCAGCAGGACATATTGACACAACATTGTCAACGGGGTAAGTTGTCACACTAGATTTGCACAATTCATGAACAGCAACAAACACGATTTTGAAAAATCACTGCTACAGCAACCTCAAATCTACTTATATCTGTAACAATTTGCCTCGGATTGTTGAATAAATGTTACAGTTTACGTTTACAGTTTACAATATCGCACATATAATTACACAACCTCCTCACCTGTAGGCTACTGCAAATCTGTAAAGGCTGCACGCGCACAACGCGCGAATTAATGCACGTTGCAAACCAAACCAACTAGACGTGGTAGGTTGCGTCGCGAAGCAGACAGTGTAGATGAGGAATAGTTACATGATGTGGTGTCTAGTCAACAACATTATAAGATAGTTTAGTGTAACTTACTTACCACACACTTGAATACATGATATATCCCGTAAAACCGTCCGCAGAATAAAGCGAAGCTCCTCAGAAGCTTTCGGTTTGGAAGAGTTTCGTAGACGCTCACAGATCAAAAATGATTTCTACTTCCTGATCTGAGGGACAATCTTTCCTGAGGAGTTGAGAGTCTGCTTCTCATTGCGCGCGCACACACGCTCACGCTCGCGCTTGCGCTTGTTTTTAAACCTCCTGGGGACTTTCCATATAGACTATTGTTTTTCTGTCCATTATATTTCTGTATTGTAAATATATAACAGTCCCTCACAAATTTTAATTTTTTCAACAATGCATTAATAAATATGACACAGGTGTATTTTCCTTGTTGGCTGTCCATATAGGGTGACTTCAGAGATTATTGGGACACGTAGGCTATTGTTGCTATTGAGATGACTTGGAAAAAGTGTGCCAAACAACCTGAATTCACGGTTTCTGTTATGCAACCTGTTTACATGATCATTAGCGAAACTTGATTTGCCTTGTTTATTTCATCAAGTCAAGTTCCAGCATGTTTCACTATATGTGTGAGGATGTTTTCATAAGTAGTCTAGTATCAAACTACATTATAGAATAGGCCTATAAAAGAGGACACATCATAGATTTCTGTTTCTGGCTTTATGTCAGAGAGGCTGAATCTATTAAAAGTAACATTTGAATATTTTTTTTTTTTTATGTGAAAGTCATATTTAATCTATCTTAGAATGTTTACCATCTTTTATTTTGCCACTGTTGCAGAATTGTATTCCTTTTGTTTTAGGTTTTATGTAAATCTATTTGGATTTTATTTTTGGAAAAACACATATTACCCGACACTAGATACAGCACTAGACCCTGTATAATAATAATTAATAAAAAAAAAAAAAACATAATAGATGGGCAGCTTTTCAGAAAGGCCTTGAATTATTTTGTGCATTAGAGTTTTTAACAAGTGTTTCTTGTAATAAAAAGGTTTTATTATTATGCATTGTCATGATTATAGCAAAAATAACAGGCCTTTTAATTATTAGGGGCTAAAAAAAAGGTTGAGAGCCATTGTTTAATATCTTTACCAGATCTTGTAAAAACATATTGTGTGTAATTTGCCCTTTGGCCTACTTTTGCGAAAATACACCTTAGTACTCAAGGAAGGGATTGAGTTACCCTCAAATGTTTGTGCCATTACACCTAGATACCTATTTAGGTACAGTACTTGTATAGAAAATATTTCGCATCACTTCAACATCAAAATGACAATAAACAGTTACTTCATTTGATTTTTTTTTTATTATTGATTCAGATTCATTTTTTTTAAATCAATAGCTATTTAATAAGTAAAAGTATTTTTTAAACAATTAAGTCAATTCACCTGTCATATGATGTGTATGTACATTTACAAAAGGAAATCACTTTGAATGCTAATTATACATTAACATAAGCAGGCCAACACACCATATACCACCATACAGTGCTGAAAATGATTCATCATTTCAATTTGCATTCAGCATCACAAAGTGAATGTAGCAACAGTTAAATCATTTTTGCAGTTGTGTTTGGTGTCAGAGAAGTAGAAATTATTTAAGAGGCGAATTGCAGGACCATTGCGAAATTTCAATCCAAAAACTTGATTTTTACACATAACAGACTATACTTGGTTGCATTTTTGTTATATATTAACAGAAGACCTTTAAAGTCACCATGAAATCAAAATCGACCCTTCTTGGTTTTGATGAAATATTGCATTATTTATTACAAATGATTTATTCATGCACATCATTATTATTTGATTTTTAATTAATGTGCAATCTTTAATCAAAATAACTTCCCGTCCCTCTTGCAGCGACATCTCTTTCTGATGATGTGTTTACTGGCGTGAGGGCGGGACAACCTGTCACTCACATGAGATTAACCAATAGCAAACCACAACCATCCAATCAATTCCAACTGGAAAATATCAAGTCCCGGCCTAAATTGTTTCCTGTTAGAGAAGCCATTTCACTAGTCACAATAGGGAGGAAGAAATAATGTCGACTTTAAGACCACTAAGAAGAATTGAACCTCCAAATCAAAAGCAAAGCCTGTGAGTATGAGTTCAGCCAGGCAAACATGTATGTGAATCTATTGCAATAACTACATAAAACATTTGTACTTAAGTTCGATATAGTATATTTCTTTATATTACTAAATATTGAGAGATGATGGATGACTTTGCTTGATTTAAAAACATCCAAATTAAATAAAAAAATAAAAAAAACACAAACTTTCTTTTAAATCTGTACAGCACATCTACATCAAATAAACAGACTGGTAGAAAATAAGCTGAAATGAGACTGATGGTTAAAGCCAGAGTTTCTTCATCCGTAGACTGATAGATGGTGGAGCTTCAGATCACAGTTTCAGCTGCTCGCTGAGTCTAATAGTGATGGCTTTGACCTCAGTGTACTCTGCCAGTGCATACTCACCCCTGCACACACACACGCATTTAAAAGAAAAAATACATGCATAACCCAAATTGACAGAAAATAAGATTTGAGATTGAGAGTCTGGAAAATGGTCATGATTATTAAACTATGATTGACATTAGGGTACCAAAAGTATCAGCACTCACAGCTCTCGGCCATTTCCTGACATCTTGTAGCCTCCGAATGGAGCTTGAGCATGCAAGGCATTGTAGCAGTTCACCCTGGAGAACAGAAAGAAACATGACCTTTGACCTCACACTGAAAATTCCTGCTCATGTCATTTTTGTATATACTGTACATTGGTGGCCAAAAGTGATGTCTGACCAAGGAAAACTGGCTTCTTTGCACTTTATTCAAACTTTCAATGAAATGATAAATTATAATCATTATAAATTTAGTTTGTATGTTGTAAAGTTGCGCCTTGAGTGTAAAACTAATGTACGAGTTCCACGTTTCAATTGTTTTGATGCAAAGATACATACTGTACAGCTTGCACTCTTTATTCCCAGCCAATATTTCAATAAATCACAGGTATGTGACAGGTATAAGCATATTGTTCATTTAGCTATAATATTATTTTGTGTTGCCCAAAGTGCTTCACAATCACAAGATCAACCACTAATATTGTATATTAGACAATATACTAAAATAATGAAATAAATACAATGAAACAATAAACATATACATAGTAACGATCGACACCAGATTCATGGAAGTTCCCAAATGGAATTTAAAAGTGTTTTTTAATAGCTTTTATAACATAATGGCCAGATGGAGGGAGCTGCAATCAAAGGGGTATTGTTAAAATGGATAAATCTGGTGAGTCTGTTTTGATATTGCTCATGTGATACAAAAACACCCTCTAAATGTGTTTTTCCACCTCAAAACAGCTTCTAAAAACCTGGATGAGAACGCCAACCTCCAATTTCACCTTGAACTGTAAGCCAACGGCTGTAGGAGGCTGGATTGAGAGGTTGTGTGCCAGTAAAGAAATCACATTAATTTTATCTAATGCAAAAAACAAAGTGCAAATGAAAGATTGAAGCCGTGTTCTGCAGTCCGACAAGTCAAAATTGAACTTAGGATGGTGTCAGGTATGTTCGTAGGAGATGACTGGAGTGTTTTAATATTCGTTTAAAGCATGCGTTGCATCCCCAATACCATTGCACCAAATGGTATTGGGGATGCATTTCTGTTGGAAGGATCTACAAAGTTGCTGGTCCTTTGAAAATGGACCAGTACTTTTGTTTTATGTATATATCGGCTATAAAATCTAGTTTTGTATTTATTTTTGTACTTGTTATTGTAAATAATATGTTGGTGAATGTTTACACTCTAAAAGCTTACAAATGAACTGCATGAGTTTGGTGAGTCTCCTACCAGACGGTTCCAGCTTCCAGGGCCGCAGATACGCTCAAGGCACGATCGATGTTACGCGTGAACACGGCTGCCGTCAGGCCGTACTGTGAGCTGTTGGCCCTGTCGATCACCTCTTCCTGAGTCTTAAACTTCATGATGCACTGAACCGGCCCGAAGATCTGCAAAACACACACATCAGTGTGACACTAATGCTCAGGCTTTCTACAGGCGCTTAAAGGAATAGTAAACTAAAGTTTTTTTTTTACATTCAACAAAAGTTCTGAGTTATCATGTCTTTCAAGCTCCATAAAGGACAAAAAAAAGCACATACGGTTATTGTATGACTTTTACACTTTTATTATATTAATTTGCAGCCAGATGCATATTTTCAGACAGTCATCTGAAATATATTTATAACAGTATGTGCTGGTCTGATATAGCTCAGGGTTTGTGTTTGTCTGGACCACATGACTGACAGCTGGGGCCTATATCATGAAGCCGGTTTAGGTGGCTAACCTAAACCTAGGTATGTTTCAGTATAGTTTGCGCCAAACCTGGGTTTTAGGCACCATGAATGTGGTTTGGCTTTTAGCAGTGTTCATCGCCATAGTAACTTGCGCTCCACGGCTAACCTGGTCCGGCCGGGGCAGGTTATGTTCCAGGGTTCCAGACCGAACTTGGACCAATCAGCTGTTAGCAAAGTGAGTGACACATGTCTGATGCGATAAAGTCACTCCACCTGTTTCTACTCAGGTGGTTCACAACATAGCAAATGATTTTTAAAGACTTGTTTCAAAGACTTGAAATGCACTGTATTAGGACTTGTCTTCCGACCTTGAAATGAGTCCTTCGAAGGTAGCTTTTATCAGTTTTCGGACGCAGCCAATGGCTGGAATCCTTCCTGTTTTCCCTTCTCCCTATTTTGTGTGTCTTTCTTAATCAATAAATCACTGTTATTCCAGCATGAGATTCCTCCTCTTTTACCATCCCGACTAATATATTATATATACAGTATATGTATTTCACTTTGAATTTATATATATATATAATTAATATAATTTCATTTTTTTAATATATATATATATATATATATATATAATACCGCCATCTGAGGACAGACACTGATCACAGGTCTTTAATGCCACAATCATCCAGCATGTGGCACTATAGGACACAAATTCGGAGTGATTCCTGTCTCCTGGGCCCAGTTGTTCAAAAGCAGTCTGATCAGATAATATCAAATGTTGAAAATGAGTTGTTCAAAAGAAAAGAAAAAAAATATGAAATCAGATTAGGTCCCAAAATCCAATCTTGGTTTTGATCTGGATCAAAATCGTCAGATTGTGTTGTCAAAATATTTAGTAAGGCTGGGATAACTGATTTAAAAAAGGATTATCCTGATTTATTAATTTAATAATTAAACTAATTAAATAATTAAATAAATGTGTATATACTGTATGTAATGTATGTGTATATATATATATATATATATATATGATGCAAATGTTGTCATTTCTGATCATATAAAAGTTATTACATTTTTGTTCCTGAAATCCACCCCAGAAGGATAAACTGGATGGCAAAACATCCAGATCTTTCTAATCCAGATTAATCCTTCTGCACTGGGCACTAAAAATCTCTATATTTCGTTCAAAATTAAGGTTTGTCAATATCCAGTTGAGTCATGGAACTCCTGGGGGCGCTGACTAATCGGTCCTTTACATGCAATCTGCAAGCAATCATATTTTTACTGCATAACACAAGCTGATTGGCCTCTACTGATCCTGAAGCCAATGCGACAGCTTGTTCAACATTTAAAGGGATACTTCACCTCTGGAAAGATTAATGTGTATTTAAAATGGGTCATTTATGTAGACGAAATGTGAAATTATTTTTGAATTTGGAGCTTTCTAGACTGAGCAAAGCCAGAAAATGTATCTTTGGCTTATATGGATGAAGATAACAACTCCCAGAATGCACTTGCTTCGATGCCCTAGGAGGCCACGCCTACCGGTAACAGAGCGCTGTAGTTAAACAACAAGTCTAGGCTACTAGTGAGTCTCCGTGATGAGTCTGCCCAAAAATGTGTTTCGAGATCGCCCAAATTGTTCAGGATTCGGCTTTTGCGTTCTACAGATTCACCAATGGAATGAATTCAGTTAGATTGAATCAAAAGGTGTACATGTAAACAACGAATGGCGACTGCAGAAAGCAAAAGCTGAATCCCAGACATCGACGGCCGGACATGTCTGGGAAAAAGAGGATGGTAACCTCTACTATTCAGCTTTCTCCACAGAACAAGAGCCTGCTAGCTTAGCTTCCAAAAAAAGATGTCTGACTCTATGTGTACATTCTGTGAGTGAGATCCCACCCTCTATAGGCGGGTTGAAAACATGCGGGACAGCTCCTTACTGGCTGTAGTCTTTAGCCTCTGGCCAAAAAAATCCTCCGATCATGCAAAATGACGATTTTTGCGTCATCGGAGGATATTTTCCAGACAAAAAATACAAAAATCTCTCGTCTCAGGGGGATATGAGAGAGGAAAGCACGGTAATTCGAAAATACTACAGGTTTTCTGCTAATACAAAGCTTAATGCTAAATCCTGAAGTATCCCTTTAAATAGTCTGGTTCAGTGTTTGCTGTCCTGCAGTGCACTACATCTAGATCTGCTACAGGATTTATGTCTATTTATGCATGTCTTACATGCATAGTATCTGTGTATTTGTTAGCAGTAGCAAGTTCATACTTTCTCTGTAGCAGCGTAGCAGATCAAGTCTGCCAAGACGAAATAAATTAACATTAAATATTATATTGCCATAACACCATATGTAGCTGTTTTTCTATATGTTTTACAAATTATAGTGCACATACTGAGCACAGAGGAGCATTGTACCTCTTCTTTGGCAATACGCATGTGGTCTTTGATGTCAGAGAAGATGGTCGGATGGATGAACAGACCCCTGTCTTCCACTGCACAGCCGCCACACTCCAGCTTCGCCCCGTCCTTCTTCCCACTGTCCACCAGCGCCAGGATCTTATCAAACTGATTCTGGTCAATCTGACAGAAGAGCAGAAACACACAAAGAACCTGAATACAGGAAGGAAAACGTTCAAGTTAGTGAGTAAACTGAGTGATCACCTGCGGCCCGTGTGAGGTTTGCGGTTCCATAGGATCTCCAATCACAATATTCTTGGCTCTTTCCACACTGAGACGCACAAACTCATCATAAACCTGCTCTTCCACGTACACGCGTGACGCAGCGGTGCACGCCTGACCCTGGTTGAAGAACGCGCCCTTCTGCGTCTCCTCCACCGCCGACTGCACTGCACACACACACACACATCACTGTGCAATTTATACAAAACCTTGTCTTGTGTTATTTTCCCATGCCCTTATGCAAAGCTGCAGTGCATTATGTAGCAGTTTGGTACCCGTGCCAATGTTCATGCTTTGATTCATTTGTAAACTTGATAACATAATGCATTATATCATTACACCCTTTCTGGAGTTTAATGAGCTGTGCATTGGCATAAATCTGGGTTTGAGTGCAGATGTGAACATACATAATAATACATCAGAAAAGAGTTCACAGCTGCATGTGTGGTCTGCAGTATTGCAACATCACTGGGGCTGAATAAACTCTAGCCAAAACAGAAATATAACTGTACCACAATCAAATGCACTTCAATGAACTTTAATCATACTGTACATTGGTCCAATATGTATTTGGCAACTAAACCCTCATAAAGCTATCATATAAATCATCAACATTTTGGTGAAAACTTGAAGCATAATTGTAAAAATGTCCACCTTTGGGCTGTGGTAAAAGTTTTTGTTGTTAAACCTTTACAGATTTTTATAAAAGTAAAAGTAAGAATAGCTTTTATATTGCTAGAAATATTCTGACTGAAGCAGCTTTAATTGATTATCCATACATCATTTTTCTTTTTAAAAATCATGTTAAAATGCGCACATCAGATATAATACATCAGGCTTTTGAGGAACGTTCATCTCTCGATCATCACTGTATTGCATTGCATTATATGTTTTGACCCTGCATAAAAACTACGGTTTAGATCATAAAACGAATTATTTAAATATGACCTTTAAATAATGAGAGATACAGAGTGATTACTGATATCTATAATCCTTTTATGCAAGTGGTCTGTTATAAAGATCTCACTGACTTACATTAAAAGCTATTAGAATTACATCTATTTGGCCATATAAATAACAACATCTACACCAAATTGCATATTTTTGCTCAGTTTGGGCCTCTGAATAAAATTGAGGTGTTTTTTATTCCTCAACTATGAGCTCCATATTCTCACTATATCATACTAGATGAGCCATGCATCAAATAAGATACTAAACAAAACACATATATGCAAACTTTTGTTGTCTAAAGGTACAATTAACTTCTATTAAACAATTCTGATTATAATTTCATATTTCAGCTTTACAGGGTTCAGTCATTTACATTCAAGCATTTGGCAGATGCCTTTATCCAAAGCAGCTTACACTGCATTCAAGGTATCCATCTATCAGTTAATGCAGCCCCTGGGAATTGCTAAAGCCATGCTGGACTGTTTGAGACTGTCACACTTGCATTAGAAGCACTAACATCCCTTTTCTTCATCAGTTGTGCTCAATGCCTTTCAAGATTCAGTGTGATTCAACACATTTACTATGAATATGTTCCACTCATGCTCCACAAACACACTTGCAATTTGATTGAAAAATGTACGCTTTTCCTTTAAAAATAAATGCACTTGGTTTTTGTCTTGTAATGCAATGACATTTAAACATTTTTAACCCATTAAAACCATCTGTGTGCGTTTAGCTTTAAGACAGGATAGCGAAGCTGTGTGTTGTCACCATTAAAGCCAGGCAAACGCCTGCATCATTTTGAAGTTTTTATCATGTTTTTATCTGCTACAGAGCCTGAGAAATTAAGATTTTAGTAGGCTTTGACAAATTTTGACTAATATTTCTGGAAACCCTTAGTTTTGGGAAGGGGTTGACAGAAAAGTACTTAAGCATAAAGGCCTTTTTTAGGCCTTGTTTTAGGCCTAAATGGGTTAAGTGTCCCTTAAGTGTCTAAATACTTTCCACTCTTTGAAAAGAAGACATGTACGTCTTGATTTAGGAACACATCGTTCCCATTCCCTGTTTTTCCCAGCCTCCCCAGTGCAATCATTATTGTTTCAAACCACATCACTCACGGTCTGAGTCAGCAAACACAATGCAGGGGTTTTTCCCCCCCAGCTCCAGAGTCACTCTTTTCAGGTTGCTCTTGGCCGCCTCCGCTTTGATCAGCTGGCCCACCTGAACACAAAGACAGCAAATGACAATAAGGAGAGCGGGAAGTGCAGCCGGCGCTTGCTAATGATGCTTCCATAAGCCTGTCTTATGAGTATCATCTGGTTTGTCATGTAGATAATGACGGGAAACTACCAAAACACCACAGCACATCATAGCAGTGAGATTCAGCTCATATATAGATCTCATCCTACAGAACTGAACGTTCAACAAAATGGTTTATTAGTACTTGAGGTGACACATCATTTTCCATAGGTGAAATAAATCATCTCAACTCTTAATCTCTGAAATTTAAGTTATTCATAAGCAAACAATATATATTTTCATTAAATAAAAATCAAAAGTTGCATTAAGATTCGGGTGACGCTTTACAATATGGTTCCATTTATTAACATTGGCTAACATGAACAATACTCCTATATCTCAACAACATTTTAAAAATCAAATGTTGTATCTGTTAACATTCGTTATTCACTGTGAACTAACATGAACATTTTATTAACTAACACTAACAAAGGTTAATAATTAAAAACTGTAAAAATATGTTGCTCATAGTTAGTTCATGTTGGTTTATGCATTAAATAATGGAGACATTGTAAAGTGTTGCCAAGATATATAATAGCGTACATAGAAATATATAGCATGTAAAGCATGCTGCTTTGTAAATATACACTTTATAAATATATTTGTAATAAGTTTTAGTAATTAATGTTTTCTCATACTTGTTGTCCATTTATATATTGCATGTTTTCAATCTAAATATATTTATATTATACAGAATCTATTTTTAAAAATACACTTTGCCTTTATCTAAAATGTAAATGAATAAATGTAGGTTTTGTTAAATATATTTGCCTAAGTTCTCCACAAGTTATTTGTACCCTTCACCACATTTATTTAAAGTATATTTTGGTCAAACCAAGCTCTGAAAAAGCAACCTTTGAGCAATATCATTTAACCTGAGCTTTTCCCCAGTAGTTCCTCACCTCTGTAGAGCCTGTGAACGCCACTTTGTCAATGTTCATATGACTGGCGATTGTTGCTCCAGCCGTAGATCCAAACCCAGGTACGATATTCACGACTCCAGGTGGAAAGCCAGCCTGACACGAAGAAAAGAAAGGGCTTTATTTTGTATTATGTACAAAAACATACAGGCTTAATACTGTGCGATATGGCTTAATACGTTCTACTAAAGAAGGATAAAGTTGTAAATGAATAGGTAAAAAAAAAAACTGCCAACGGGGACAGAGACTGCAAGACTGTCGATGAACACAAAGAGACGCTTTTCTTTTGAGGACTTAAACCACACTGATCTCATTCATAATGATGAAGACATAAATCAGCTCTTTTTTAGATACAGAGGGCTTGAATAGAAAGCGAGGGGCGGTTGACAGAAGGCTTGCAGCTGCACTTTTAGTCCATGTCATTACAGCAATTCATGAGTCCAGCTCTCTTTGAAGAATTAAACATGATAATTTGAGCGTTTTGTATAAACAGAGCAAAAACTCATGAACCACAATGCAGCTGAGTCATTCTGTAATTCAGCCAGGGGCTCCCAGCTGGCTTTATACCCCTGAGATTTCAAGTTCAAATCTTTCAATAAACATATTCAATTTAATTACTCGTTGTTGTGTATAAAATAAAAAAAATTAAGTGTAATACTTTCAATACATAAAAAGCACCTTTTTGTTAAAATGTACACTACTGTAAATATTTTTTCTCATTTTCTCTAGCTCTCATTTGTTAACAATACTTAATGCATTAACTAACACGCACAAACAATGAACTATATGCACATTAACCAATGTTTTCAGATTCAACATTTGATCTTAGAAAATTATTAGTAAATGTTGAGAATAAAGCTGCAGTCCGTAGTTTTTCCTCTTTGTTGCCATCTCTGCATCTCTGCATTCGCGAGATTATCAACTTTACATGAGTTGTACTTCAACACCCTCGACACACGGCACAGCGTGGATGAACACAATGTTTGAGGAGACTGTGAGGTTGTCAGTCACCGCGCCGGTGTCGATACTGGCATTCAGAATCACAAATAATTATTTTGGAAGTATGACCAACATAAGAATTTTCACTAGATGTCACAAAATGTCATCTGAACAAGTAAGAAACATTGACTTTTGTTCTAGTTCTGACATTGCAGTAAATCGCTCTGATTAAATCTAACAATCGCTTATAAGTTATCATATCACGCAAACCTGTGTAAATTATACAATGTTCTCAAATTGAACGTTAGCATTGCGCGATTACATGTAATGTCCTTCCGATATGTATACTTGTTTTCGCATGGGTCCGGTTGCAGTCTCTTTTTTTTCTGTATCCACTCCAAAGTGTTTTGCATTTTACAGCGGGTGAATCTGTCGTCACTGGTGATTGTCGTTTAAACCTTTCTGGATCCGCCATCAAATTGATAAGTTAATTATATCAAGTGCTGTGAGAAAAGGCTATAAATCTTCACCTCCAGCATCCTCACAAGCAATATAGCCGACTAGCCGAGACTCCTTCTTTATGTCTACAGATGTGACGTAATGACCTGCTCAAATCTCCCGCGGAAATCCACCAGCCCATTGGAATTAAAAACATTATTACAAGCTTACCGCTTTAAATCGAGCTAAGGCAAGTTGGCTGGTTATCTGTTTTCTCAAATATGTATTTTGGATCATTTTAACCCCCAAAAAAGCTACGGACTGCAGCTTTAACATGAACTAAGATTAATCAATGCAGTAGAAGTCCTGGAGGTTCCTAGATCGAAACGCAGATCCAGAGGTGATCGGGCCTTTTCAGTGGCTGCTCCGACTCTCTGGAACTCATTGCCTGTAGCCGTGCGGACTGCTAGTTGCTTGTCCATTTTTAAATCATTGTTGAAGACTCATTTATTTGAATTAGCGTTTGGCACAGGGGAGCCGCCTTGATGTATGCTGTTTTCTATTTCTTAGTATTTGTTATTTATTTATTTATTTACTTATTGTGTTTTAGTGTATCAGTCTGTGTTTATTGTTTTGTGCTTTTAACTGTGAAGTACTTTGGTAGGCCTAGGCCTTGGAAATGTGCTATACAAATAAACATGACATTGACATTGACATTGACATAGAAGTATAGTTCATGTTAACTACTTACTTTTTGTAAAGTGTTACCGAAATATCCAAAGTGACTTATGAGAATATAATAATCATAAGCAAATAATCCAAGAAAGAAATCAATAGTGTTATTCTTACGATTCCTGTGCTGTGTCTTGTGTTTTGCAAGGACTTGGATGTTGAAGTGTATTCTTTGCTTCCATTGTTTCTGTGTTTACTTCCTGTTTTGCTCTATGGTTTCACCTTGTACCTTGTTTGTCGCCATAGTTACCATGATATCAAATCACCAACACCTGTCGGTGGTTGCTCTCTGTTGATCACTCTTGTGATTATCTGTGTTCATGTTTTTTTTGTTAATAAACTGTAGGGCTTGCATTTAGATTATCTGCCTTGTCCCTGCTCACATGTTACAGATATAGCATGATTTTTTTATTTTAATTTTTAATTGAAAAAAAAAAAAATATGTGGACTTGACAATTCCACATTACTTCACTTTTTTGAATAAGCATGACGTTTATTTACTTAATTTTAAGGCAACGAGTTTCCTAATTTTTTTTAAGTCAACTGATCACTTTTTAAAGTGTAGACAAAAAGATTTGCTCAATGCCGCAACCGATCAGAATCTAGTATTCCAGCAAGTCATGTAATGTCATTATTAGTGTTGTCAAATTGATTGGATGGGTTTGTATTTACACAATATACTGTATGTGTGTATATATTAATATGAATGAATCAATAAGGTATTTATATAGTGCTTTCAAATGTACTATTGTACACCCAAAGCATCATTATATGCGTTTACATTACACACACACCTATATAAACAAACCTTAATGTTAGATGCAATTAATCGCAATTAATCAATTTGACAGCACTAGTCATTTTATATTGGGGTGTAAAAAAGCCTCTGGCAAACTTCATAATCTCACGATCCCCCAGCAGATCCATCATGAAGCCCTGGTTGGGAAACACTGCCTTACAAAGTTTGTGCAACATGCACAGTCAGACCACAGAATCTGGGATGCAAGAAAGGCAACGCTGATGCAATCAATCATCAGTGTCCATGTTAATAAAATCAACTCCGAACAAATCCCATGAGCCGCCGCTGCACCCTCACCTCCTTTATGAGAGCTCCAACATGAAGAGCCGTCAGCGGGGTCTGTTCGGCGGGTTTGATGACCACTGTGTTCCCGCAGGCCAAAGCCGGCGCGATCTTCCATGAAAACATCAGCAGAGGGAAGTTCCACTATAAATGCAGAAGAACATTACAAATAAAAACACAAACACATGTATATCAGCACAACTGCACTGGTTTGATTTCATATGACTGCTATTGCACTGGGATTGCTTTTTGAAACAAGATTTGAACATGTCCGGTGGTTGCTAATGGGTTCTGAGTGGTTGCTAGAATATTATGGGTTGTTGCTACAAGCTATAAACATTTGGAGGCTTAAAGAAGAAGCAGAAAGCATGAACATTTCCTGCCAGAAGTGAAGGAGCCTCAGTTGTTTTTAAATATGAGAACACACCAACAAGTCTAATTGCTGTTCTCTGTAAAATTAGTTACATAAATATGTACACAAATCACTTGTAGAAAAGAGTTGTTATTTTTTACATCTTCTTGGATGTTGTCATGGCAATTAGACATGTTTCTGGATTGCATTTTCACTTTTCTTATTTTTCTTTCTGAGTGACTCATTGCTCTGAATGCCAGCTTTGCTTTCTCTAATTACCACCAAATCAATCCCAAATATGAATAATGACTTTATGATAGAATCTCAAGTGTCTATCAACAACAGTTTGTTCTTTGTTTCCAAAGCAACATAAGACAATAAAAAGCCAGTCATTGATGGACTAAGATTCTTGGATGGCCTGATTTGATAAATGATTTGTACGTTTTTGTAACTTATGGAAATTGAGACAATATGGTGTATCATCGATGACAATAACTTCATTTAGTCAAGAATTACCCACCCAGGAGAATCTTCAAACAAGCCTTTAAATTATGATAACTATAGACCATTTCACAAGATGTAAACAACACTGGTCCAGAAGCACTTCCTGTTTCAGTTTTTTAACACTACATAAAAGCTGGGATAAAATACAACCAACAGAACATTTAAAACTGAATCAAAAATTTAAACAAACATCTTTAAGATGTTTTCTTTACATGTGAAATAAAGAAAACGGTTACAAACTGAAACAGGAAGTGCTTCTGGGCCAGTGTTGTTTACATCTTTTGAAATGGTCTATAATATATAATTATTTTCAGAAAGAAAGAGTTCCCTTATTATTGTATGGTGTTCATTAAACCAAAATGTGCCAAAAATTGCACAAAATTACTCAATTCTGTCATGGTGTTAGGGTTTTATCTGTAGTTGCTAGGGTGTGACCTCAAATAGGGTGACTGTATATACAACATTGAATAAATTGCTAGGTTGCAACCATTCAGAACACCATAGCAAGCACCTATAGCTACCACTCAGTAAAGAATAGTGTTTAACAGCAGAATTCCTGGTGAAAAACTAAAAAATATTTTCAAGATTTGTTATCACAACATATTTTCTTTTGTCAAATCAACTTTATAATAATTTATTTAGTTGACATAACTTATTATTTTGAGTTTCTGATGGTTAAATTAATCTCCTTCATTGTATTAACTCACTTTTTCCAGTTCAATCAACTTAAAAAACCCAGGCAACCCAGGTTACTTACTTTTTTAAGTTAAACCAACAATATTTTTTTACAGTGTAGTAATCACAAATTTTTTTCTTTTGTCAAATCAACTTAAGTAATTTATTTAGTTCATATAACATATAATTTTGAGTTTCTGGTGGTTAAATTAATCTCCTTCATTGTATTAACTCACTTTTTCCAGTTCAATGAACTTAAAATTTTAAGGCAACCAGGTTGCTTACTTTTTTAAGTTAAACCATAAATATTTTTTTACAGTGTAAAAAAAAAAAGTTGGTTTAACTTACCTGAACAACTTAACTAAACTTAAGTTACTGTAGCTAAAAAAGTAAGTTACCAAGTTGCCTTAAAATTTTGAGTTAATTGAAATCATTTTTTTTAGTTAATACAATGAAGGAGATTGGTTTAATAAATATAAACTCAAAATATTGTTTTCAGAACCACATTCATTATTTGACAAAAGATAAAAAGTGATCAATTATGAACATAGGAACATTTGTAAATAAGTAGTTTTAAATTTCTCCATCGTTTTTAATTCGATTAAGCTGCTCACTGTAAAAAATATTGTTGGTTTAACTTAAAAAATGAAATAACTGGTTGCCTTAAAACGTTAAATTCATTGAAATGGAGAAATTGAGTTAATACAATGAAGGAGATTGATTTAATCATCAGAAACTCAAAATATTATGTTATCTGAACCACATTAATTAAGTTGATTTGACAAAAGAAAAAATTTTGTGATTACAAATCAAGAACATATTTTTTATGGGATTGTAGTTCTTCTTTTCTGTCATTGGAATTAGTGAGGATTTAGAGCTTCACAAAAGACCCGGCAGAACTCTGAAAAAGTTACGTCAAAAGAGAAAACAGGCTCTTTTACAGTAAAGAAACAAAACAAGGCCTCGTGGTTTCAGAGAGTTAATGCTCGTGCAAGCTTTCATAAACATTAATAAGCTTCAGTGGCACGTGAGATCATAATACGCTCGTCTCGTGTGATGAGAGGGTGGTGTATTTGTGTTCGTCCACGTGTGAGAGTGTGTATCTGTATCCAAGGTGTTTCCTTACATCCATCTGAAAGACTCTAGACAGGCGTTGCCTACAGTATATAAACAATGCTGAGACAAAGACATGATGTATGTGTGATTCAAACAACACTCACAGGAGCTTACTGTGTTTATGTTCTTAACCATGTCAAATTAACACAAATTAAGTGCATTTTGCAAGCATTAAAGATACACAGCTTCCCGTCCCAGGGAAACTATGAAAATTGAACTTGCCAGACTACAAGCTAATCATAATTTGGTAACACTTTACAAGAAGGTTCATTAGTTAACATTAGTTAACATGTACTAAGAATGAACAATACTTCTTCAGCATTTATTAATCTTAGTTAATATTAAATCCAACATTTACTAATACGTTATTAAAATCAAAGGTTGTAGTTAACATTAGCTAATGCACTGTGAACTAACACAATGAACAGCTGTATTTATATTAACTAACATTAACAAAGATTAACAAACACTGTAACTAATGCATTGCTCATCGTTAGTTCATGTTAGTTAATGCATTTACTAATGTTAACTAATGAACCTTATTGTAAAGTGTTACCCATAATTTAGTCTCGCGTAACCAGACCTTCAGAGTGACGGCAGAGGATCTGGCCTTCATCGTAGCTTTCATTGGCCATGGACCGCCCAGTCCCTACGTTTGACTGACATGTAACGCAACCAAGCAGTTTGTTTTGTTCCATGTCATGTTTAGGGGCATGAAAATGCAAAGTTAATCTCCCAATGATAACAGACTGGCGTGCATCTAATAAATTATTCATTCAAGAACGCTGTGCAAGTTTACTGCACCAATGGAGCCTTGAACTTCACACGTCTTTTAAGGTTTCAGAAGGGTGCTCACGATCTCAACAGCAGACTTCTACCCGACAGACAAAGCGGCATTACGTTACGAAAGTGCATACTCGGAGGAAGATCGTAAGGGCTTAGGGTTCCATTTGGGACAGGGCCTTTCACTGTCGGGTAGAAGTCTGCCGTGGATCTTGCGAGCTTATGTAACATTTATAAGATTCTATAAGATGTTTTTTAGACTTCCATTAAATAATCCTTAAAAAGATATCATACTTTCCAAAACAATATTAAGCAACACAAATGTTTTCAACATTGATTATAATAAGAAATGTTTCTTGAGCACCAAATCAGCATGTTAGGATGGTTTCTGAGAAGAAAAAAACCCACAGACCACAAAGTTATAATTATATAAATATAATTAAATATAATAATTAAAATAAATCATAAATATAAATACATTAGGGCTGTCAAACGATTAACCGCGATTAATCGCATCCAAAATAAAAGTTTGTGTTTACTTAATATATGTGGGTGCACTGTGTATAAGTATTTTATATATATATAAATACACACACATGCTTGTTGTATATATTTAAGAAATTTTCATGTATATACTGTATAAAGATTTATATATAATTTATATTATATATAAATATAAATATTTTATATATAAATAATATTTTTTTCTTAAATATACATGTATGTGTGTATATTTATATATAAACAAAATAATTGTACACAGTGCACTCCCATATATTATGTAAACATAAACTTTTATTTTGGATGCAATAAATAGCGATTAATCGTTTGACAGCCCTAATGTATTTATATTTATCATTTATTTTAATTATTATATTTAATTATATTTATATAATTATAACTTTGTGGTCTGTGGGTTTTTTTCTTCTCAGAAACCATTCTAACATGCTGATGCTAACATGCTAACAAACTTTTATTTTGGATGCGATTAATCGCGATTAATCGTTCGACAGCCCTAAAATACATGAATAAATCTATAAATAATAATTAAAAATCAATAAAATAAATAAAAATGCTAATTACATCTAAAAATACCAATTAAAAGTAGACTGTACCACAACCTCTCGATTTGATCCACACGAAGAAAAGAAAAGAAAAAAACTTTAATGGAAAATAGCCACAAACTCACCGGAATAATTGCTCCACACACACCGACGGGCTCATGTTTGGTAAAACACACAAAGTTTTCATCTGTTGGGAAGAAAAAAAAAATAAGGTAGTCAAGGGGTACTAAACACTATAACACACTAAGCTCCCCTTTGATATACAATCATTGTTTCCTTGGGAAGCTCTTGGATGTGACCACCGAAAACCAAACATGAAAGACAAAGGATTGGGAAAAACACACAGCGACGGTTTCAATGGCCCACACAAAGCTCTGGTCAGAAAGAGTGTATATGTTCTGCTGCTTTTTTTTTTCTCTTCTGCTTTCACCGGAGACACATTGAAACGAGAGAGGCCTGAGGTGTGTGAGAAGTCTGGGCAGCAGTTCAAACCCGCTGCAGATCTGCTCTTGGCTTGGATGCACACCTTTGTTCACCTTCACTGGTCTCCTTCTCCCTTTGCTCTCTCTCCCAGGAGTCAGATAACCAGTCAGGGGTAATGTAAGGTAGCAATGCTGTTTTATCACATCTCTTCGCACTTGAACCTTTCCGTTGGAAAATGCCATAAGATTGGCCAATTTACCACTTCCTTGTTCCAACGTGTATCCAGTTAAAGATTCGAGTGGTCTCACTAAATATTGCACAACGACTGATTATTAACCCTTAGTTCTCCCAAAAATGAAAATTCTGTCCTTATTTACTCACCATCATGTCTTTCCAAACCTGTACGATGCTATTCTCTCTGATCCAAAACCTAGTATGCTGCCTATTTAGACAGTATTTTAAGGCATCGTCAGTGGGAGGCAGCATGATTATCCTCACGATACTGACAAATTCAAGTACACAACTTTTCAAAAGTTTAGGGTCAGTTAGATATGTTAATGTTTATTAAAGATCACCAATGCTGCATTTATTTATTTATAAAATACAGTAGAAACAGTAATATTGTGACATAAGATTACAATTTTAAACTGTTTTCTATTTCAATATTAACAATAAGGTTCATTAGTTAACATTAGTTCATGTATTAACTAACATGAACTCAGTGTTGGGTGTAACTAATTACTAAGTAATTAGTTACTGTAATTTAATTACTTTTCCCTTGAAAATGTAAAGTAAGGGATTACTCTTCATTTATCTGTAATTTAATTACAGTTACTTCTGATGTAATTGAGGTAAATACTGTGTATGGATCAATCCGATCTCACAGCGATTCATATGCATTTTATGAGCAGTGTTGTGCAAGTTACTTCCAAACTGTAATACATTAGGTATTACTTGTTACTGTTATTTAAAAGTAATTCATTACCTTACAATATTACTGTCCCAGAATTGTAATGCGTTACATTACTCATGTATTACTTTTTAGTTACTTTCACCAAAATAACTAAGTAGAACTTAACTTTTGGGCTGTAACGATATGCAATATGAAACTGAAATCGCGATTCGCCACACGACTCAGATCCACGAACCTACAGAATCGCGACACACCTCTTCCAACTCCAGCGTTGTTCTCCTTACCGTCCATATCCAATGCTGCCTTATCTTTAAATTAGGCTATTAGTATTATTTGAAGTTTACATTATAAAATACGTAGACCTACACCACAAAACTAGTTGAGGATAAATTATTTAAAATTGGGGAAGTCCAGCATTATGGACATGATGACATTTGCAGTCAAAACTTGAAATTAAAATTCTCAGAAAATACATGTATTGAAACGTATATAGGCTACTTCCTTAAAGGACTCCAGACATTAAACAAATATCAGTCTATGTTTTATTTTTAATATTAGGGAAAAGACACACATTCATGCGTGACAAAAAATCGATCGTTGGGTTATACAATTTTTCTCTTAATATTAAGCTTACTTGATTTTGGAACAGAGTGTGAGCTTCATAAGACACATTGAAAGCCTTCCAATTAAAACTACAGCCCAACAACAAACTCAGACATGCTGCTGACACCAGCATACGAAACTCCCAGGAACATATATGACATTTCATATATCTGTGCATGGTTACGTGGGAGCCACGCCTGTTAATCTACCACAGCCGGCCTCTCCGAGACCTGACCTTCTCGTGTTTCCCCATGCTGCAATGTGTCGGGGTGATTACAGACTTGACGACTCCCTCACACAATGCTCATCTCTGGCTGGGATCAGCCAACGGCCCTTTCTAACTGATCCGACAGCGCTGCTTATCAAAGGTTAAATTTACATGGCATCTAGAAGGGGTTTATTTCAGCAAACTGTACATTTCCAAAGCCTCGCCCACAGATTTCCAGCAGCAACTAATTCATTTGTATGGACTGAAAATATTAATAATACTGTAATCTGACATATTAACAACCAATCAAAACATATCTGATGTTTGATAAATAAAATAAAAAACCCATGAAATTGAAAAAATCCTGTTCCTGTTGCATAAGACTAAGCAAATACCAGGTAATTAATTGGGAGCTAGAGTGACTGAAACTGATATGCAAGTATTTTGCCAAATATTTATAAAACGCAAGTTGTAAAAATTTAATTCAGCTTTTTGGTCACTGCACCAAATGGAATATTTTTGCTTAGTTTGGGCCTCTGAATAATAGGTTTTTTTTTCTCCTCAAGTATGATTACATCATATGCTATATACGTCATACAAGATATCTAATATGACAAAAAATACACTTGGTTAAAAAATATTGTTGGTTTAACTTAAAAAATGAAGTAACCTGGTTGCCTTAAAACGTTAAGTTCATTGAAATTGAAAAATTGAGTTAATAAAATGAACTCTAAATATTATGTTATCTGAACCACATAAATGATCTAAGTTGATTTGACAGAAGAAAAAATGTTATGATAACAAATCATGTTTTTTTTTTTTTTACAGTATATGCATTATTTTTTTCTCATATGTCAGGCTTTAAAAAGGGTTAACTCGTCCAAATATCATATACGCATGAAAAAGCTTATTTTGTGTGCATCTTTATCTAGTTGGCACCCAATGCAACATGTCTGGAGTGATAGCCACCTCTGTCTGCGGGTGGAAATGTCAAATTGGCCAGACTGGTCTTCTAATTGGCGCGTCGACAAACCAAGTTAATCCGGCTAAAGCAATGAACCCTAAACAACACATTTTTCCAAATAAACACTTGAGTTGGGCAGTAGGCGGTTGACGTATGCTAATTGGCAGCTGTTATCAATGGGGAAATTCAAAGCGGCTTCAGTCACGCACCGTGTTCCAGCCCTCAAAAGATCGAGATATTCTATCTGGCCGTTGATTCCCTGAACTCCAGCTCATCTGCGGCACTAGCGGTCGTACCTCAGCGATTAGGATCAGAGCCTCTTCCTTTTCCTTTGTGTGCCAGGGCTTTCGTCTTTTAACGCTTTATTTGAATCTAATCAGGGGGAAAGGAGGGAAGCATGTTTTGTCTATTGAGTATCCTGGAGTGGCAGGAATGCTGGGGGAAAGGGAAGATTTAGAGAGGGGGATGACATACCACCCAGGGCTGAAGGAAACCCATCAACCCTTTCATGCTCATTAACTCATCACAGGTATGAAGAGGAAGAGGACATTAGGAAACACTGGCTGACTTGGATGTGTTTATCATATCCACACCGGTTGAATTGAAAATACCTTTTAAATTGAAATTCAGTTTCTCGATTTGAATCAAATTTGAATTCGGTAGCACACAGGAAGCAGAATCGAATTTAAATTCAAATTTTAAATTGCAGTGTGTTATTTAACTCACTCTGTCTGCCATTAGTCTGCAAAACCTACAAATGACTTATTTACAGTTGTCCATCCATTTTAAACTTGCATGTGAAATAGTATTTACCAATAAAAATAAACTAATACATTTAATAAAAATGAAACACTTCACAAAATATTTCTATTTCAAATAAATGTTGTTCGTCAAATAATCCTGGATAAAAAATATAACAGTTTCCACAAAAATATGAAGCAGCACAACTATTTTCAACATCTATAATAATAAGAAATGTTATTATAATGATTTCTGAAGGATCATATGACACTGAAGACTGCTTTATCATCACAGGAATAAATTATATTTTACAATATATTTGAATTGAAAAAAGTTATTTGAAATTGTAATTGTAATTGAAATTTTGCTCAATCCTAGCCCACATGACAGACAATCATGGTTCTAAATAAATCAGCTGACCGACAACAACTGACATAGTCAACACTCACCAACTGGCATGGTTTTCCCATGAATCTTGTCTGTCCAGCCGGCGTAATACCTCAGGGTTTTAATGCTGCCGTCCAGATCGACAAAGAACGCATGCAGGAAAGGTTTGCCAGTGTCCATTGACTCTAGAGTCTAGAAACAAAAAAGTATTTGGTTCAACTACTGCAAACCAATTCTGAGAACATAAAAGCATAAAGTTATCATTTTTATTAGCAATCTGTTTCAAATAGGCATTTTTATTGGCCATTTTCGAAAAGCAGGCTCATTTCGAGAGCTACAAATTTGATACAAAACAACTTTTTAATGCGAGTCAGAGGATGCCAAGATTTTAATGCGCATGGGGAGTTTTGTAGGTCCAGAAATTAAACAATAACACAAATAATAAATTCTGCTGCCCTCTAACAATATAAACAATGTCATCATGAGGAATAAAAGGAGGTGGGTAAGTTTCCGGCTGAAGTCATTGGCAGATTTCTTGCTCATGAGAGTTGTAATATGGGAACCATCAGTGCTGGAATGGATCGATTACCGAGCACGCATCTAAAAAAACATTTTATGTTAAAGATTAAAATGCCATTATAAAGCATGATCAATCTGACATCTCAAGCTAATGATCATTTTTAGATTGCTGGGTGTGTTTTGAACTCAAGAAAAATAAAGTTTCAGAATCTGTTTGCGTGGGAAACATACAAAACTTTATGCATGAGTACAATTGTGAAATACGTATTATATTTGATCCATCCCATCCGCTCAATGTACAACCGCAAAAAGCACTGTAAATGGCTTAATATAGGGAGCGCAGTATAAGAGAGAGATCATTTTAACCTCTCTATCTCTAAATCTGTTCTATGTTTCCTTATACAGAGCTCTGAGTTATTGAAATGAGCTATTTCCCAGAATCACAGGACATGTTTGCAATTATCAATCACGTGCAATCTAAAAACATTAGTCCACACACATCTGTAAAATTTCATTCACAAATGCGGTAACTAATATGATCTGGCAGGAGAACAGGATGAAAACCAACTCAAGCAAGGCTTTACGTAAAACCCAGGCATTGTGATACTGTATAGAAACAAGCAACAATGCGTCCAAAGATGAAGGCAGTTTTTGATAGAGCAAACAGGTTGTTTTCTCAAAGACATCTAAATCCTGAACTTCTTGATGTTTTAATAGACCAGACTTGAAAATCAGAGCACAGTGTCAATGCTCACACCTGCAGCAGTGTTTGATGAATGCATTCAGACAGGCGTGACAGCCTATCGACACAAAACAAACACAACACAGCCATTATCATCAATGAGCCAGCAACTGTGCAGTTTCATAAGCTCGGTTGTTTATGAGATGTGCTCATTCTATGATGTGCTACAATTCTTTCAACTGGGCAGACATTTAATTCTGCTCAATTAGCTCATCTGTTTCATATCTGACTGATGTAGCCTAACGTTATATTTTCATGAAGCCTCATCATTCTGACAAAGATTTGCTGTGATAGTGATCTGAGGCCATTTTTAATAAGAGTTGACATGAGCGAATTTAGGACTGATCGATGAAACAAAAAAGAGACTAATGTAATTTTGTTTGTGTGTATATTGTATGTAAGTTATCTTAATTTAATGTTTTTTTCTTACGTAGGCCAAGTTGTTGTTTGTGTAGGCCTGATAATTAGCTCATTTCTGCACTGTTGACACAATAGCTAAGAGTGCACATATTGCTATCGGCAAATTTGGCCTTGAAAGTAATTATTTTGGCCTTGAAAGTAACGTTAATTATTTTGGCCTTGAAAGTAATTATTTTGACATTGAAAATACAACGAAAGTTTTGCAGAGTTCCCCTTTATGTAAAAAAAAAAAAATTGAGTAAACATCGAAAAAACGTCGAAATCCCAGCCGCTGTCTACATCGCATGCGCGCGAACATATGGATGAAGAGAACTCACCGCGAGCACCGCACGCTCTCGCTCCAGCAGGTCCGCGAGTCTGTGCAATAACCTCCCGCGGCTCGAGGTGTCCATCCGCCGCCACTCTGAGCCTCTCTCCATGGCCGCTCTGGCAGCTTTAACCGCCTCATCCACATCAGCCTGAACAATTATCACCACGTTAGAATACACCCGAACTACACAACAGATTAAAGGTAAATATTCATTATTATTTTTTTTACGTCTACTAAGTTAATCATTTAATGTGACCAAAACAATGCATTTAATCAGCCAATGTTGCCAAATGATTAGGCCTACAGAATAGGTTATTAAATAATCATATTCATAATTCTTAAACCAGACTTATTTGCATAATAGTCGAGTAACTTCTTAAAAATGCAACATTAATCGTGTATCAGCTGCCAAAATCACAGTTATATAAAATAACATGCAATTACAAAATAAATACAAACTCTCAAATCAGTCTTATATGCATATTCATAGTTTAACTGATAATAGTAGTCTAATTAAATGAACATAATTTAATCTTATATTAGCTACCAAATCATAGCCTTAATATAAATAAAATAATTGTAATTGCGTACATAAATAATAAACATATCTGAAAAACCCTGAAAACAAAATAATAAGCATGAATTCCTTGCTTAATAATGGAATTTAATAAATTGAGTGAATCTAATTTCTTTTTAAATCAAGTCATATTTACATGAATGATTGCAGTTAATAAATACATGACAGATATACAGGACTCCTAATTCACTGTACATTTTAATTATACATCTAATGAGTCAAATCCATCTTACTTTATCTGCCTCCTCGACGTCGCAGATTTTGACACCTGTTGCAGGATTGATTGTAGGAAACTTCTTTCCTTTGATTGACGTGCGCCATTCATTATTGATAAAAATCTGCAACAAAAATAGTGGTTCATATTAAAGTTAAGACTTATTTTTTAGAATTAGGACTTGCATGGTTAAAGACAAAACATAACCATGTGTACTGTGTACTGTATTCCTCATGAAAAATAATTGTCACTGTATAGGGTAGAGATTCTTTGAAAATAATATGAAGTTTTTCGGCTCTTTAACTCACCAGTACAGTTTTCTAAAAACTATACAAAGTTCTTTGTAAAACTTCAATGACATCAGGCTCTAAAATCCTTCATTTTTATTAGGGAAGGCCTAATGTTTCTCATGCACAAATGTCCTTGAAAAGGCACTACACAAATCAGACCAAAATTCCACTTGCTCTATTTATTTTTACAATGAAAAACTCTTACCTTCGTGTGTTTAATCTCAGGTATTTTCACAGGTTGAGGCAGAGGCGGAGGGGACGTATTTCGAGTCACCCCGTTTTCTATAGTCCCGTTCTGTGCCATTGCAGTGTGGTCGCAGCGAAGTGCTTATAGGGATGAAGATTACAGATCACTGTTGACTGAACATGATTCTACATCCAGCACACTTTATAAGAACTTTGAAAGGTCCTCCCCCTTTTGGGCAAGTGTGCTCTCCGCCTACAAATGACAGACTGAGTTTCTCGTCCCACCTGCCAGTGAATCAGTCTTTCAAACAGAAAACATGCTGTTTTCCAGATATGCGTTTACATGACGAATCGGGAAAGTTTGAAGAGATCAAACATTGGAAATAGCTGTGGTTAGGAAGTTTGGGAATGTTTTAGACTCCTAAAAAGCCTCACGCAGTTTCGAAAAGAATGATTGGCTGTGTCTTTATGTCAGGCATTGGAGGTAATGAGTGTGAATTAATTGTCCAGCAATATTTACATTGTAACAAAGTGGCTTTGATCTGCTTGCAGAGGGATGGATTTGAAGCGACGGCGGGCTGTGCATCAGATGGGCCAAGGTGTGATGCGTTCTGATGTTCATCACAAAGTTGGTTTTTGCACCTGGGCCTGGTGAAGTTGAGTGGAGTTGAATACGTGCAAACAAATGCTTTTGTTCGGCGGGACAAAGACTTTCCCAGCTTTGGGCTCATACTCGGACACTGTTGCCATTGTTTCCCCTCCATTGCTTCTTGTCACTCTTCTTGTCAAAGTTTAATTAGGACAACGAGCTCTCGCGGGCCCATTTCTCACTTCAGCAGCTTTCTAAACACTTCCTAATGAGGGCAAGGCTCAGACAGATAGAGCGAGAGAGGGCGTCCGGGAAGGGAAGGCAGGAAAAGCAGGAAAATCGTATATTTTGCTCACTAAAACATATATATCTGCACTTAGTGTATTGCTATAATCATTAGTAGGTTGCTATTCATAATGAGAGAAAACCAAACAAACCTTTTTATACGTGCAAATTATCAATCAATCAATCAAATAGTCTTTTTCAGATTTTTTAAAAACGGCTGAAAACGTGATCCGGGGGAAAATCGTGGGAAAGTGGAGGCAAGTGCCCTCATCCTCCAAGCTTGGGTGCTCCGGTTAATTGGCGTTCCACACCTTTTAAATGAAGGTCAAGTCTCTTCCCCTCTCCAGGCTTCAATGCCGTTTAGCAGCATTACCCGGCTAATTGTAATGACTGCATCCTCAAAGAAATCACATGACTCTGCAGACTCTTCCCAAAACAGATCTCAATAGAAGCCCTTCAGAAAATCGTCAGCATTGTTTAATTGAAGTGACACAAGAATATGGAGATTTAGCTACAGAGAACAGGTGCTCCAACTAAAGAAAACCATCACAGTTTATAGTGTCAAACAATTATGAAACAATATAAATAACAATAACAATTGTTTTTTTTTTCTAAACCATTATTTACTACTGCTCTTGCATGCTACTGATTTAAACAAACCTCTAACCCCGAGTAGTAAGTTCGGTGCTCTTGTGCTCATTCCACCCCATTTGTTCCATGGACATGAATGATATCTAAAACTGTGAGGCTTGTGAAATGTGTCCTATTTTTTTTTTTTTATTGGATTTATATAAGCAAATGGGTTTATCATGTACTTGTCTGGAAAGACCAGAAAATATAGAGAGTTGGGGATAGTCGCTGCATCCGAAAGCTAATACTTCCCTAGCCTGGCAAGCCAGACTTATCAAGATGTTAGGTCTGGGAACTCACAATTGGCATACCTCAATCCGAGGGGCGGGATAAAAGGTTGTCTTTCAATATCCCTCTGCACGCAATAGGATAGCGCCACAACCAACCAGAGCAACGAACGGCTGTGGATGAGTGAGTCCAATGCGTTTTCTCTCCAGCGGAGCAAGTTGATATTAAACTTTTGTCGTATCTGGTCGTCAAAACTCCGAACACATCTTCCTTTTTTAAGAATGACTTAAGTGACGTTCTCTTAACACTAAGTCATCCAGAGTTGCGGCCAAAGCCGAATCGAAAGGCCGCTGTTCGCCAGCAGCATCTTGTTTGTTTTTAAGTAGCAGGGAAATCACCTACTGTATGGAAAATCACTGCGCAGAACCGTCACAACTCTGCCGTCATTGTGTTAAGCCCGCCCACCAACGCTATACACGATGTGATTGGCCTGACCAGAGTTTGGTTATTTCACTTCGAAAGCCAACGGAGAGTAGCTATACCACACTTTGCTGCAAAATAATTTTTTCTGCCACTAGGGTGCGTCTAAATATCTAGGCTAAATACTTCCCTATAGAGTGCCGAAGTGATGACGTCACTTTGTAGGACGACTCGGTAGTCTCGCGTAGCCAGACCTTCAGACTGACGGCTGAAGCCAACGTTCCGTGGGCGTGACGTCTGAGGCTGAGACTAACGACTCGGAAGCTAGCGTCGCGTGGGTTCCCTCGGTCGAAAAGCAATGCATTTTCCCCATAGACTTTTGGAAAATCGCAAAAAATAAGATCTGTGTTTAACAAAGGGTTGTGACCCTTACACGTTTTGTCTAGCAAGATAATCTTTACAAGTTAATCCAAAATTGATACATTTATACACAATGCTATGCTTCCAACTTTGTGGGAACAGTTTGGGGATGGCCCTTTTTTATTCCAGCATGACTGTGCGTTAGTGCACAAAGCAAGGTCCATAAAGATATGGTTGGATGAGTTTGGTGTGAAAGAACTTGACCTCAACCTTATCGAACACCTTTGGAACCAACTCCATATTAAAGGGTTAGTTCACCCAAAAATGGATTAATTATTAATTACTCACCTTCATGTTGCTCCAAACCTGTGAGACCTTCGTTCAACTTTGGAACACAGATGAAGATCTTTTTTGCTTTCTGTCCCTCAATTAATGGCTACACAACTACCACTTTGACACCTCAAAAAGTTCATAAAAAGATAGTAAAACTAATCCATATAAATTGAGCAGTTTAGTCCATTTTTTTTAAATGACTCGATTGTTTTACATGAGGAACAGAATATTTAAGCTTTTTTAAGCCTTTATTTACATATAAACATTGATCAGCAAACATAAACAGAAGCTCAACCGAACCTGCTTGACGCACAAGAACAAACCTCTTGCGGAAGCTGAAACGCGCTGCTTAACATAAGAATTAACCTCATTGGTTCTTACTGAGGTTGAAACGTGCTGCGTAACACAAGAATGAATCTTATTGGTTCTTGCTGAAGCTCAAACGTGCTGCGTAACACGAGAATGAACCTCATTGGTTCTTGCTGAAGCACAAACGTGCTGCGTAACACGAGAATTGACTTTATGCACAGCTGCACTACTTCCTGAACTTAAGCCAGATCCTTGTTTCCTGTCTGCTATTATTGGCCAAACTTGATTAATTCAGGTGTGTCTGATTATTGTTGCCATGACTACTGAGGCCAGTCACACCTGAAATAATCAATTTGACCAATAATGGCAGACAGGAAACAAGGAGCTGGCTTAAGTTCAGGAAGTAGTGCAGCTGTGCATAAGGCCAATTAACCTAATTGGTTCTTGCAGAAGCTCAAACATGATGCGTAACACAATAATGAACCTCATTGGTTCTTGCTAAAGCTCAAACGTTATGCGTAACACAAGAATGAACCTCATTGGTTCTTGCTGAAGCTCAAATGTGATGCGTAACACAAGAAGGAACCTCATTGGTTCTTGCTGAAGCTGAAAAGTTCTATTTAACACAAGAATGAACCTCATTGGTTCTTGCTGAAGCTCAAATGTGATGCGTAATACAAGAATGAACCTCATTGGTTCTTGCTGAAGCTCAAATGTGATGCGTAACACAAGAAGGAACCTCATTGGTTCTTGCTGAAGCTGAAAAGTTCTATGTAACACAAGAATGAACCTCATTGGTTCTTGCTGAAGCTCAAATGTGATGCGTAATACAAGAATGAACCTCATTGGTTCTTGCTGAAGCTCAAACATGCTGCGTAACACGAGAATTAATTTTTGGGTGAACTATCCCTTTAATGTTTATGTATTTGGTCCCTGTTGGTGTAATAACCGGGTGTCCCAATACTTTTGTCAATATAGTTTATGCATAAAAAGTAAGTAAAAAATATGAATATTTACCTTTTATTAGGTTATATAAAAATGAATTCACTATAAAATGTATTAACATTTAACATAATTCATTCTCAATTTTACTTCCCTAATGAATATCTCCATAACTTATAAGCCAGTGTCGTGAGTGGGTGAGTGCAGTGGCTCACTGCTTTGGCAGCGCCTATCAGCTCGATACGGACTGACCATGGAAGCAAAGGAGGACCAGTCATCCTAAGATAACTCCCTCCAGGTGTTCAAAGGCCCAAACAAAGAGCCTTTTCAGTCTCCTTTATGAAAATGAAGAGGGCTCAGGCTTGTTGCAAAATATACTGGATAAAAGCGAAGCAAACACAGGCAGATACAGTAATATTCTGCTACAGTGGCTGCGACCAGATTCGATAAGGTCAAGCTTTGTTTTTGAGGGATAGAAATGAGCCAATTAGTGAAGCATTTACAAAGCAGACTTGAGCAGTGCAGAAGAACTGTGGGCAGATGTAAGGGTGGGTTGTCTTAAAAATATTACTTTAAGTAAAACTTTAAGTCATCATTTAATGTTTTTTTTCTGTAGCGTGCAAAATGAGATATAAAGAAGAATTTTATGCAACTTGTTTTACCATGTCAAGCTCCTAAAATGACCAAAAAGCATGTTAGCAAATAGCACGTCACTGATTCTAATATATTTTGTTAATGGACATTAGATCCGCCAAACAAAAAAAATTAAAATAAAGCTAAAAAAAAAAAAAAAAGATAATGACATTTTATCACACAGGGTTGAAGCTCATCATGCAATAATGCAACATGATCTCATGAAAGTGTGTATGTAGGCCTACAAATTTAATTTCTCACACCATTTAGGCTACACTATAGGCGTGCCAATGATACGCACTGTAAACCCCTTGGGTAGTATTAGGCGTGTGGAGTGCGTGTGGGTATTTCATCCTCGAGATGGCAAGTTTGCATTCGGGGATCGCAAACCTGATTTGACCAATCAACTCTTCATTGGTTTGAACAACACAATAAATAGCCGTTAGTCACCAAGGAACAACTTATTCAGTATTCAGCCATCGTGTGTATTTGTATTAGCCGAGCTGTTTTTCAAACGGCACTGCTCTTGTTTCCACACGTCTGATTATTATGTCCTATTTACACAATTATATTATTTGCCAAACCACTTTAAATGTGATACGACCATAAAACATGCATGAGACTATTAAAACTATCACTCACTCATGGTCATTTAGGCCTATTATACACAAACTGAGTTTCACATTTCTTTTATCATATCAGTTTGCAAAGTAATGAGGCAGATTTGTACTAGGCGTCTATAGAAAGGTCTCAGTTTTGGTATTTATATGATTTTTTAAATACAGACCAAAAAGTGAAAATTGTCAACTCAAGCAACACTGGTTTGTAACAATTTGTGAGGGTGAGTCAATGATGACAGTTTTGAATTTTCAGGCAAACCATTCATTTAAATGTGTGTTTGTGAAGGGCCTCTAATTTCAGACTCCAACATCAACATTTGAATGCATGGTTCGCTCCCAGGCTTTGACGGGCCTCTTTTTGGTCCCTGTGCCTGCTGTCACCGTT